CCCCCAATGCACTCTTCTACCAGTCCGATTACGCAGGATACCTCGTTGAGCAAGTTTTTGTAACAAAAAGCGCAAGAAAGTGGAAGCAAAAAAGACCAGCACGTGTGCGTGTGAAAGGAGACAGTATGTTCGCACTGAAATTTTACGTCACCAAGAAAAACACGAGTAGGCAAGTTTTTTAAACTTACTACTACAACCACCACCACTACTACTACTGCTACTTCAATCTAATGACTATGCAAAAATGCCGTGAAAAACACATATAAAATCGGAGAATAAATAACCGGCTGAAAAGAATTTACATTCTGGGCATCTGCAATAAATGGGACCCACTATTTGGCAAACAACTTTAAAGTCTAATAATCCTCCTGTCTTTGGTGTAAAAAAGCGTTGGAAAAATTAGTCGCATTAGATCTGTAGGAACTAACAGCTGTTACTAACCGACAGTACTGACACTTGAAAGAATGGAGTGTAAGCACCACCCCAAAAACTTTTAAACTTGGTCAGTTCTGAAAGTAAGTTTTATCCTGCTCCCAGACGAATTTTAAATCAATTAACTGAAACGTTCTTGAGCAAGCCAATTCATAGGCTTTTAGCGAAAAGAGGAACACATGTAACTAAAAACCCTATTTTAATCTCAGATTTAAAGACTGTAATTTTCGAAGCTCACTTCTTCTGCAAAGCCAGTTCTTTTTGCTTTGAAATTTATAAACTTTTCCCCGACAAATTCTTATCATTCCTGTGTCACATTGAACAAGCAGACCAAGGAAATCCCAATCAGTACAAAATAGTCACTCTGTGCTTATAAAGACGAGAGACGTGTTCACATTTAAATTTCAAAGTATGTCATCATGCAAAGTAAAACTACTATAAGTATGCGAATGAAGAGGTGCCTCGGTGCTTTAAACATTCAAAATAGGAAATCTTTAAGAACAAGTGGCACATCTCAGAAATATCAAAATGTTTACTGAGCATCCAACTATTTAATCAAAGCTTTTCACCCCTTCAAGTGGTATTGGGTTGGCAACTAAGCCATTGCCGTTTTTGTTGACGGATTCACTCTATACTTTCTTTTGTTTTGTTAACGTGGCTAGAGCATCTAACCTATATTTTTTTCTTACTGTATGGGCTTCTAGGTTAATTAGTAAAAAATTTTTTTGTTTTGTTCTTTAATTTTGTTTTTATCTCAATTTAAAAATGAAAGAACAGGACGTGCACTTCCGACACATTTTATTGTATTACTTCCGAAAAGGCAAGAAGGCATCGCAAGCACAAAAGAAGTTATGTGCCGTATATGGAGATGAAGCCTTAAAAGAATGGCAGTGTCGAAATTGGTTTGAAAGATTTCGTTCCGGTGATTTTTCACTGAAAAATTCACAACGATCTGGCCGCCCAGTCGAAGTGGATGAAACCCATATCAAGGCCATTATCGATTCAAATCGTCACAGCACAACACGAGATATTGCAGAGAAGCTCAATGTGTCGCATACATGCATTGAAAAAAAAATGAAAATCCCTTGGTTATGTCAAGAAACTTGATTTATGGATCCCTCACCAGTTAAAGGAAATTCATTTGACGCAACGGATTAGCATCTGTGATTCGCCCCTACTGAAACGCAATGAGAATGATCCATTTCCGAGGAAGAACCTAGTTACTGGCGACGAAAAGTGGAGAGTTTATAACAATGTTACTCGCAAGAGATCATGGGTGAAGCAAGATCAACCAGCCCAAACAGTACCAAAAGCAGCAGAGATTCACCAAAAAAAGATTATGCTGTCAGTGTGGTGGGATCACAAAGGAATTTTGTATTTTGAACTCATGCCGCAGAACCAAACGATAAATTCAAATGTGTAAGTTGAACAACTCGAAAAACTGAAGGATGCAATTGAAGATAAGCGGGCGGCATTATCAAATCGGAAGGGTGTTGTTTTCCATCATGATAACCCAAGGCCCCACACATCTTTGGTTACTCGGCAAAAATTATTGGAACTGGGTTGGGATGTTTTGTCACACCCACCATATAGCCCTCACCTTGCGCCTTCGGATTACCATTTGTTTCGTTCCATGCAAAACTCTTTAAATGGCAAAATTTTTAACAACGCGGATGATGTCGGATCACACCTAATTCAGTTTTTTAATAGCAAAGACTAGACATTTTACGAACGGGGAATTTTTACTCTGCCAGAACGATGGAAAAAGTTCATCGACAAGAAGGGCCAATATCTAATTGAATAAAGTTATATTTGTAAACAAAAATTCCGAATTTGCCTTCTTATTTGAAATCGGCAATGACTTAGTTGCCAACCTAATAGTTTCATACGAATAAATCCCTAATATTCGTATAGAACACGTTATAATCTTTGGTGCATAAGACCTCGAAGACAGATGGGAATTCTCTTTCAAATAAGCAAACATACCACTTCCATTCAAGCAATACACAAAATTCTTAATAATAAGCATGAAAATCGATACACCTTACTACTGATGTTGAGCAAATGCTCATTTGAAGTCGATTCTATTCTAAATTGGCATAATCCGCTGCGTTCAGGCATACAGAAAAAATGAGGCAAATCTGTCTAATATGTGCTAGATTTACTCATCCGGAAAAAAATATAAGAGAACAGAGTAAACGCCAGTGAACTCTGTTATGCTCAAGACAATATAAACAAGTACCGTGATGCCATTTTGGCCATTATAAGGAAAATGCCATTCTCGTATATCAATTAAAGGCTTCGTAACAATAAAGATTGGAGTGGATTTGCCAGCTAAAATCTTTCAAACGTGGCCAATTCAGGTGTACGGATTTTCTACAATCGGACTATTTTCAACTGAAGAAAGTTAAGAAAATGTCCAACTCACTCTTGAAAACCAAATATACCACAACTTTTACTCATGATAGCTAAGCTCTAATCTAACATTCTCAATATCCCAAGGTTGGAGGTGCCAACCGCAAATAGAGAGGTGCAGAAATTGTGAGTTCAAAAAGCGAATCCATCACTTTGTCTTCCTCGACCCATGATAAAAATCCTAGACAGAAAATGTGCCTTTCTGGGCAAAAAAACATAAGCGTGGTGCAAGCCAAATTGATGGGAAATATCTTTCACCCATTTGTGGGTTCTCCTTATCCTGGATAATCAGAGGAGCATGTGGTCTGTGGTTGAAACAATTTGGGGACATAGAATGCAAATGGAGAATTGGGGGGGGGGGGGTGAGGAAGCTACAGAAGAATCATAAAAATAAGAGCTCTAATTCTAATATAGATACTGAATATACATTGAAGATAATCACTAAAGAGCTGGTTCAGTTAATTATTAATTTCGTTCGAAGAGTGTTTGAGGAGGATAGATGCAAGCAATGAATGTACAATCGACATATTATCTGGTACTGGTGCGAAATCGACCAATTAAAGATAAGATTCAAGACAGTTTGGATTGGATTCGATGGTTGAGATCAATAGAAACGCGAATGGGAAATATTGTTTGATGCCGTAAATTTAAATTTACCTACCCAAAGCAGTTGAAATTTTAATTGAAGAACTTTCTACTGTGACAAACCTCAGTTAAAAAGGAAACAACAACCCTGGACTGTTCAAAATTTGAGCATTTTCACAAATCAGATTAAAGAACGAATACGTGAGACATTTTTGCTATATCAATTGATAAATGATCATAAGTGAGACTTCGATAAATAGTGGGAGACAATGGTACGATAAAGAAGAGCTGGCAGAGGAAACGCTTATACAGATGCTTAAATCATATAAAATAAATGGGCAAAGAAATACTAGAAGGCGATAGGAGCTCACAAAATACGTCCCTCATGAGAACGGGACTGAGAGTAAAAAATGAAAACTCACCCGTCGAATATCATCCAAGGTTTGAATTTCAGGGGAAAGACCACCGTGAACACAAAGGAATTGACAATTCATAAGTGCAGCCAGTGGAAGACAATCGAACGCATCCATACAAGCATTATAAACCTCATCATTATACTTTATTCGGCCTATAATTGAAAAAAAGATAACCCAGATAATGAAAAAATGGAAATAAGCAAGAGATTTTGCGGCCTTTCCATTAATCAACCATGTTTGCAACATTAGTAACATGCCCATCGGGAGATTAAGACCTAGTGATCAACCACTTAATGGTGGTCCACAGAGCGACAGTTGAGTGCGACTTTACCAACACAAATCTCCTCAGATCGTTCCTCTCCAGCTCTCACCTGTAAACTCCTACATTTAGGTCCTTCAGTCACCTGTTTCAACTATCTTCTACTACGTAGACTCTACTTACTGAAGCTCACTAAGCTACCATCGTTACAATTAGTGATTGCTACTCTGTAGATCTCAACGAACTATATTGTTCATTGTGTAAAATGTTCGGCCACAGTTATACATAACTAAGATCTTTCTCCTCCAGATATCTTCAAGTAAAATTAGTGTATTTTACTACCTTACTTGACCCGAACCTGGCCCCAATGCAGTAAGACCCTGTTCAAAGGTAGAAAATGCATAAAAATATGCATACATGACGCATTCATGGACACAAGTCCTAACTAAAAAAGAACTGATCTAATTAATAAACTTACAGAAGGAACAAACCCTCAAAAATCTGTGTGATTCTACCTTTTTATCCGAACTTATAAAGACACAACTAAGGAAGTAAACACAAAATGGACAGGTGAAATGGAATGAGAGAACTTACATTCCTGTTTGAAAGTGAAGTACTCAGTCAGATGTCGGCATTCATGATTGCCTCGAAGTAGGAAAAAATTGGTCGGGTGGAGGATTTTCAAGGCCCATAGGTACAGCACGCACTAAAAAATGGGGGGAGGGGGTGAGAAACAGCAAGAATAAGACTATTGTATTGAATAAACTACTTAACTTATTATAAGATCACGTGTACATATACGTTGTACATATACGAACACACAAATGAGTCTTCATTGTGGTCGTCGAATGACAATAAGTAGTGTAAAATGTGTCGATAAAAAAGGAAGGTCGATCAGATGTCCAATCAGGGGGACAATCATTAATACTCTTGTTGCTATTATTACCTACGCCACTCCAAAATCTCCCCCCTCCCCC